CTATGAAGAAGTTATGACCACAATTCTATGAATAAACTGTGGGTCATTTCACTGTGGCTCCATAATGAAGCAGCCCATGTTTTCCTTGAAGATCTGACAGTTATGTGAGAAGGACTATTAGAACTGGCAGATCTGTGGAGAAGTCAGCACAGAACTATTTTAGCCCTGTGAGGAAGCAGTGTTTTGTACATCTGTCGAACACTCTGCGGGTGGACCCCTGGACATTTTTCAGCTTAATGTGAATCTGTGGTGTAAGGCACGGGTGTCAAACTCAATTTCATTGAGGGCCGCATCAGCATTGCGGTTGCCCTTGGGGGGGGTGGCCAGGGTGGGTGCGGCCTACTGGGTGGGCGTGGATGGAGTGGGTGTGGCCTACTGGGTGGGCGTGAGTTCAGCAGGCAGCGGGGCGGTCTCACAGCGCCGAGAAGTTGAGCCGGGCAGTGCGAAGCTCGCCAACTTTGCACCCTGCTGCCTGCTGAAACTGGGCAGGCTGGGGGCTAGGCAGCATTGCACTTCTCATCAGATTCGCGCCACCCAGCTCAGGTCTTGGCGCTGAGGAGAGCACCCTGCTGCCTGCTGAAACTGGGCAGGCTGGGAGCTGGGCAGCCTCGCGTTTCTTTTTGGATTTGCACCGCCCGGCTCAGCCTCTCGGCGCTGTGAGGAGAGTGCCCTGCTGCCTGCCGAAACCCTTCCCCCAGAGCCCATCAAGCCGGATATGTGAAGTAGGCGAGGGCCATTTGCTGGCCACTTCCAGGTGATGGTGCATTTCTTCATTCCTCACAAAGGTGACACCTCCCAGCATGCACCCAGGGGGGTGGGGCCGATGCGGCAGGGGCTGGTTCCTCACTGTTTCCAGACGGCCTCGTGGAGCTAAGACTGAATGCGTTTCAGCATAGATGGCCACCACAAAATTGTACATTGGCTCCCGGCCAGCCTAGCCCAAGGCCAAGGCAGTGGGGGCCGTTCCCTCACTGTTTCCAGGATGGCTTCATGGGCCACATGAAACCACTTTATGGGCCGCATCTGGCCCCCGGGCCTTGTGTTTGACATGTCTGGCGTAAGGGGACCAGAGACACAAGCATGGCCCTTATGTCTTCAGTGTGGATTTATCAAAGCTGTGGGGTTGGGTCTAGATATTCCCCAGGTGCAAGAGCTGTTCTTGAAACATGTCATTGGTCTTTTGTTGACACATGCCATATGTCCAAAAGTCTGCTAGCTCACTACTTGACTGATGTACTAAAAACTCCTGCTTTAGTGCTGGCTATACTGAGGTGGCAGGCAATTGTGTACTGCTGGGAGAGCACCCAGCAGGAAACTTCTATGGAGGGAGGAGAATCAGATCTTTTTAATGCTAAGGATAGCTGGCCTCTCAAAGTCTCCTCTTTCTTTCCTGCACCCCATCAGTTAGGAAGAGAAGTGGGAGATGTGGGTATTTGTCTCCCTGTCAAAAGGTAAATGACTCTGAAAACCAGAGGTCAGGGTGTGGGAGGAGAATGGCCAATAGGAACAGGGTAGGTGCCTTTCTCTGAACTTTGCTTAGGATTATTGGCTGACCACTTGGCTCTGCTTGTGCCAGCAAAGTATGAAAATACTGTTGTTGTTTTTTACAGAGGAGCAAGGCATGAATGGATGCAGCCTTCATGGTGGCCTGGAGGAGGGAGGTTGGAGGACAATGCAATGCACTCCAGTTGAGAAATTGCACGTGGGCCATCCTCATACCAGAGCAAGCAGGGCGGAGAAGCCCTAAGTTTCATTGTGCTGTGGGAGTAGTGCAGTTGATCTAAGATGATAAGACAGGGATGATCAACCACTGAATATTTCAGAGTATTTTGCTGCGGTAGTCCTAGAGTTTAGTGAAACTCTAAAGTGTTTCTCTTTATGTCAGAAAGGTCTGCAACAGGAATGCAGGGAAGAAAAGCATGAAGATATAACTTCCCCAGTGAATCTTCCTAAGGGCAGTTTTGAAATGCTTTTCTTTTCTGAAGTACTCATGAAAACAGAATACCTAAAATGCATTTGACAGGAGCAAGCTGTCTCGGTGAATCACCCAGTAACAATCCATCTGAATATTATGTACAGTATATGACAGCCTTCTCCAATCCGGTATCAGGCAGATATATTGGTTTTGTAGCATCTTTTTGCCATAGTCAACATAACTGATAGGAATGCTGATAGGAATGATATGCACCGTGGCCCAATTCGTATGAGAAGATATGAAGCTAGGGAAGGTGAAATACAGAACCCCAAACAATTATGTCTATGAAATTAGAACTATTCTTTTCAGACAGCCTCTGGAAACAAACTATTTTTCTTTATTTTCTGTGTCAAATTACTCAGATTTAGTAGGAGGGCCCCAGTTCTGATTCATGATACCCTTTCATGTATCTCCATTGGAAACCTTGGTTTTATCACAATCTTTTGGCCTTACTTATTTATGTGGCATGTTTATTTTGAAGACAAAAGTAGGATAATGCAATAAGTTCCTTGAAGAAAGAGCAGGGCAGACATATGATATACATGCCAGATTCTCCTGTCTCTTGAGATAAAAAGTGGCTATCGTTTTCTCTGAGGGTATCTTATATGATTCATTTGATTTATGATGAAGAGATTGACGACTAGGGAGAAGTGTGGCTGTTTAATAAAATGCTTTGCAGCTATAAATATAGCAACATTATGCTGTGCTGTAAGATGAACCCTGGTCTTTCAATTATTCCTAGGCTGGACAAATATCCATTGAGACTATTAGTAGAACAAAGTGCCTGTGAATGGATCATTCCACTAACATTGGGCTAATCATATTGGATGCAAGTCATGCCCTGCAGATATACACTATTTTTGTATTGAATATATCAGGTTAATGCTTTCAAAATATTAGATTAGAACCAGATGTGATAGCAGATCTGTAAGAGGCTGAAATATGAAATCATCTCTGTCATGTCATATTATCTGCTTTCATCCTAGAATGTGACAATGCCACCTTATCTCAGTGAATGGTCTTGCACAGACAGAGATAGTCATAGTGGATGTTCTCTAAATTGATAGATCAGCCAGAATAAATACATCATAGTTCCTAAAGCAGGGGTCTTCAAACTTGGCCCTTTTATGACTTGTGGACTTCAACTCCCAGAATTCCTCAGCCAGCGTGCCTGGCTGAGGAATTCTGGGAGTTGAAGTCCACAAGTCATAAAAGGACCAAGTTTGAAGACCCCCTGCCCTAAAGTCTTGAACTAAAATGGGCAAAATTGGGTCTTTATTTATATATTTTAGAGAATGTTTAGCAGAGGTAATTACAACCAGGAAAAGGATATTAAATTAGAGATTATCATGCTGCAGCCTTCTTAACTTCTGCCCTGTCTTTCAAATATGATTTGTGTTTCAAATCGGTTGGGGCTGCAGTTCCCAGCAAATCAACCACTGTTACAAGAGCTCTGGGACTTCAACTGACATGCCCTGCTGGATCTTCAAAAAAACAGGAATCTCCGCAAAATACACCATTAGGCAATCCTTAAAACGTTAAGTTTGTTGAACTGTAAATAGCAAGCCAGGCTCCTATCTCATGACCTATAGACAACTGACTAAAGAGTAGAAAACAAAGAATAGGAAAAAATGGGAATTTTTCACACTGAAGAGATATAAGTAGTGGGGTCTCCAAGGCTCTGTTCTAGAACTGGTGCTTTTTAAACTTATTTGCAAATGATCTGAGATGACTAGTTGAATAGTCAACACAGCTTGACACCAAATTGTTCAGAATGGTGAAAACAATGAAGGACTGTAAACAGTTCTAAAAGGATCACTGTACAAGAGGGCATCAAAATGTCAGATGTTATTCTGTGTGAGCAAGTGTAAAGTGATGTACATTGGGCCCCCAAATCCTAACTATTCCTACAAAGATATAGGTTCAGAACTAGCAGTGACTAATAAAGAAAGAGATCCTGGAGTAATGGTAAATGGTTCAATGAAAAGGTTGACACAGGATGCATCTACTATAAAAAAGGACAACAGCATCTTAGGGATAATAAGAAATGAGTTGTCAATATTGTAATGCGCACATCTAGAATATTCCTGTTGATGAACCTCAAATGGATACAGTGGAGTTAGGGAAAGTTCAGAGGAAGGCAAATGAGATGATGAAGGGGCTTGAGCAACTTCCCTATAAAGAAAGTTTGCAATATTAGACCTTTTTTTACTCTAGAAAGAAGGTAAATGAGAGGTGACATGACTGAGGTGTACAAAATTATTCATGGTATGCATAATGTGGATGGGGAAAGCTATTTTCCCATTCCCAAAGTATTAAAACCAGAGACTACCCAATGAAATTGAATCCCGGAAGAATCAGAGCAGACAAAAGGAAAAAATAGCAATAGCAATAGCATTTAGACTTATATACCGCTCCATAGTGCTTTTCAGCCCTCTCTAGGTAGTTTACAGAGTCAACATATTGCCCTCAATAATCTGGGTCATCATTTTACCAACCTTGGAAGGATGGAAGGCTGAGTCAACCTTGAGTCGATGAGGATCGAACTGTAACCACTGTGCCACCATGGCTCTTTGGTGTACACAAATACACAATTAAACCTTGGAATTCATTACTGGAAGATGTGGTGCTGGCTACCGGTTTGTCTGGCTTTAAAAAAAGGTTGGACCAATTCATGGAAGTCATGGAGATCACCCATGATGGCAGTGTGGCTGTCTCTAAAGGCTTCTACTGGGCTTCTTTGCTTGGGCTTCCTTGCTTGGTTGGCCATTCTGAGAACAGACTGCTGGATGAGATGGCCAGAGGTCCCATACAGCAGGACACTGCTTATGTTCTCATGTGCCAAGAAAATGTTCTGCCTCTCTCCTGTAGCTCTGAACTAAACCTAGTTATGAAATTATATTTGTAACGACTACCATGGAAGATGGTAAATGACATGAATCTGGACTGCATTGTTGCCTTTGCTTATATCTGGAAAGATTCTAAGTGCTTCTTTTCCATTTCCAGGATTCCTGCTTCTACGTTCCAGTAATCCTTTTGTGTTCCTGGTGGGCATTGCTGTCCTGGGTGTGATCCATCATACCCTCGCTGTGAAGGCAAGCCACTTGGCTACCCACAATGCTCTGGTGGACTCCAAATCATGGGGGAAATTATGGAGCATATTCTTCATTGAGGTTTGTTTTTAGCTAATCCCATTCTCTGAAAGATAGAAAGCAGGACAAGACTTCTGTGGGTATGTGATATTCATCCAAAATGAAAAATTGACGCAACCTGCGTAAATTACAATAGCTAAACCAAACAATCATATGCATCTATTTAATTCATTTACTGTATATACTCCTGAAATTATACAATTTATGATTGTTTATGATCATATTTAACAAGAAAGTGGACATGGCCATTTTGAAACATGCCCATCCTGTTTTTCAAGTTTTAATATAGTTCACTACCAATGTTTCACTGCAAAATTATTTGGAAATGTTTGGGGATATTGCCATATCCATACAACCCAAAGTGCAATGCTTTCCAGATTTGTTTTTTTTCTTAGATACTGTGGGAGAGAACAACTAGCTTAATGTTACATTGGTTCATTGCTTGTGTGAATGCAGTAATGATAAAGTAATAATGCTAGCAATTAAATTAATTGTGGCTACTTAAAATCAAAGAGATGATAGCAGTTACCAAGTTCATTAAATCTGCAATCTAGGACTTTTAGCAAAAGGCATCTTATTTATATTGTGAAGAATATTAATAGTTGGCACCTGATGTTGATATTGTTGATATTCCATAAATACACGGTTGTTATTTGGACATAATGCCTTAGGAACATAGAAGTTCCTTCCACATTAAACAATTAAATATGTCAATTATGCTATGTCAGTAATCATAAATCTTATTTTGGGTCTAATAAAGTTTTCGTTCCCTCTTTATTGGATCTTTATTGGATGGATAATTGCATTAATATATTTGAAAATCCTTTCTTCCTTTCTCTTGTTAGGTCACAGAAAGTAATAAAATTAGTACCACAATTGGCAAAAGCTAGTTTTGTTGTGTTTTTGCAAGCTAGTAGAATTGGGAATATTTAATAGCTTTAAATATTATTTTCAATTATGTGTAAGAAGCTGAATTGCACATCACAGTAAAATGGAACTAAAACCGGCATTGTGCTGATTAGGGGATTTCTGTACCATTGAAGGACAAATAGTTGGAACAGCTTGAACTAAAGCAATGTCTCCAGTCAACAATCAATAATCTATTTTCTTCTCAGCAGCATTCCAAGGAAGTCAAGAATAATTTTTTGCATGTAGATCATAGGGGATAGTTACATTTTTATTCTTTGTCTGAAAAGGATGAGTGGGAAATAGCCAGCATACATATCCCAACAAACGGCAATTCTTGAAGGAAAAAAAAAATTGAATTGAGCCAGTAATGCATTGCACCTTGAAATGAGTGTACTGAAAGGGACTGAATGGAGAGTATTTATACATGATCTCCTGATTCATTTTAGGAAACTCTTTTATTGACAAGTGCTTTTGATTCTCTGTCAAACAGAGAAGATATTTCTGGTCACAATTAGTATAACTCAGGGGTCTTCAAACTTGGCCCTTTTATGACTTGTGGACTTCAACTCCCATAATTCCTCAGCCTGGCTGAGGAATTCTGGGAGTTGAAGTCCACAAGTCATAAAAGGGCCAAGTTTGAAGACCCCTGGTATAACTGAATGACCTTCAGAGAACTGAAAATACTTCAGTGCTTATTTTATATTTCCAAACTTCTTTTGTTTTGAAGTAATATGGGGATATTAAATACCTACATACACAAACATGTGAGATTCTGCAGTAGAACAACAACTTTGGGGAGCTGCAATTGGAAAAAAAACTTCTGAATCTGTTTCTGTGGCTCAGTTGATGCTTTTCTTGCACTGAGGCAGGTTTGCAGAAATGGCTGACAAACCACAGGTAGTCCTTGACTTACAACAATTCGTTTAGCAACCGTTTGAACTTACAATAGTACTTAAAAAAAAGCAATTCACAACCAGTCCTCACAGTTACAACCATCGCAGCATCCCCAGAAGCACATGATTAAAATTTGGGTGCTTGGTCACTGGCATGTAGTATTTACAACAACTGCAGCATCCTGGGGTCCTGCGATCACCCTTTGTGGCGTTTCCAACCTGTTTCTGGCAAGCAAAGTCAACAGGAAAAACTGGATTAGCAAACACGTGATTCGCTAAATAACACCATTCGCTTAACAACTCCAGTGATTAGTTAACTGTAACAAAAAGGTTGTGAAATCAGTGTGGCTCACTTAATCTCCTTACTTAGCAGCAGAAATTCTGGTTCCAATTGTGGTTGTAAATCAAGGATTATCTTATAGCATGGGTGTCAAACTTGCCACATCACATGACGTATCATGACTTTTTTTGCATTGCCGGACCTGGGGTGGGTGCGGCCTCCTTATGATGCAACTGACCCGCAGGCCGGCAGTTTGACACCCCTGTCTTATAGCAAGGTAGGCATTCTGGTAGTGATTTTATGTGTGAATTTCATAGAATTGTAGAGTTGGGAGTGGCTATTTTGGTCCTCAGGTCCAATCTCCTACTTAATGTCGGAATCCAAATTAAACCATCCTGGACAAATGGCTCCGTATGTAGTCCCCACTTGAACAGATAGAGTGAAGGCAGCCAACACCTTTCTACATGATTGGTTCTGTTTTTTATTTGCTCTTACTGCTTCTGTAACATTTAATCATAATCTGTACTGTAACTCCATTATTCTGTGTCTTCGAATCTGGAGTGAGAGAGAACAAGCCTTGACCTACTTTGATCGGACATACTTGTGGCTATCTGAAAAACATTATCTTGTGTTCGCCTTTTCTCAAGACTAAGCAACCACGGTGATATTTCTCTTCATAAAGCGACGTTTGAGTCCTCTCATTATCCACACGTTCTCTAAACCTTCTTTGAATGCTTTTAAAGTGTGGTGCTCAGAACTGGATATACAGAAATCCAAATGAGATCTGTCCAAACCAGAACAAGGTGGAACAATTACATCTCATGATTTCTAAGTTATACTCCTAATTATAGTTCCCTTCAGATCCATCTAGCATGGCCAGTGGCATTAGTCTGTGGAAACTGTATCAGAATATCTAGAGCAGGGGTAGTCAACCTTGGCTCTTTTATGACTCGTGGACTTCAACTCCCAGAATTCCTGAGCCAGCCATGCTGGCTCAGGAATTCTGGGAGTTGAAGTCCACGAGTCATAAAAGAGCCAAGGTTGACTACCCCTGATCTAGAGAGTAACAAGTTGAACACTTCTGTGATATATATATGTTTTATGTATAATTGGATGACATAAGCTGAGTAAATGTCTCCATTGGTACATTATGGACTCCTGAAGGTGGCTTATCCCATCATACACCTGTTTAAATCAAATGCCCTCTTTAAATCAAATTAAATGATTTGAAGATTTATACTGTTATCAACATTGCTTTAAAACCATCACACTCCAACAAACAGCAATCAAATTTAGGAGTGCAACTTTAAAGATCTTCATTTGTATGATCTGCTACAGACTTCCTCAACTTGGTTCCTTCCAGCTACCATATTTTGGAATGCAATTCTGACTGTTGAGTGTTATGGAGGAATTCATCATTTCTTGGGTGATGGGAGCTGTATTCTAACACAGGGGTCCCCAACCCCTGGTCCGTGGACTGGTACCGGGCCACAGCATGCCAGCAACCGGTCTGCACAAACAAGCAAAGCCCCATCCGTGGGATGCAGGCAGCACACAAAACCACGCACTCTCTGGTCCGTGGAAAAACCTTTCTCCACGGAATCGGTCCCTGGTGCCCAAAAGGTTGGGAACCTCTGTTCTAACACATCTACTGAATATCATAGATATAAAGTACCATATACATATGGAGGTAATTGCAGTGTTCTTTATTTACCATTTCTTTCTGTCCCAGGTTTGCTCCGCTTTCACAGCAGAACGAGGGTCCTACAACCATGTAAAAATGCACCACGCTTATACAAACGTCATTGGCCTCGGGGATTCCAGTACCTGGAAGGTTCCTTTCCTGAACCGTTATGTTTATATGTTCATTGCACCTATTGCTGTACCTATCATAACTCCTTTAATAGCCATTGGTATGTTACTGTCCTCCGAATCCTCCTACTAATCAGCATACCCTTCTCTTCATTAGTTTTACAGTGTTAATGTTGAATGCAATTACATCTCTTCATTAATATTGACTGTCGTTATAGCTCACTCTATGTGGAATTCTGCCTTTGAAAGAATCAGAGAAGTAGAACGAATAATGATAATGCCAGCAGCCTAAACCTTCTTCCATGAGATAAAGCTATTCACCCAGCAGCTTGCAACACAGATTATATGATGTGTTATTGGATAAGTGCCTCCCCCAAATCCCTCTGCTCTGGTTTAATTTTTAAAAAATGTACTAAAAAAAGGGTAGATTTTTAAAGATTACAATCAGGCCTCTGGATTTATATATACATACACACACACACAGAATTTTAAATTTCATCAGAGAATGAGCACTGGGAAAAGCGGCATCTGATCCTTTCTCATGAAAAATTAAATTCTTCCCTCCCCCAAACTACAATGTGTGTCTTAGAAGGGAAATCCTTTATTTTTCTCTCTTGGGAGTTCCATCCATCAAAAAAATAGCCTAAAGGACAATTCTAAACTCCTCCTTTCAAAGCACCTTTTCTTGAACATTTAAAACTTTGTAGCCCTGATCTAAGTCTAAAAGAGTAGAGGAAGTCCTCAACGTATGACCACAATTAAAGCCAGAATCTGCATTGTTAAGTAAAGCGGTTGTTAAGTGTGTCCTGCTTGCTTTTACAACCCTTTTTTTGCCACAGCTGTCAAGCTGTAGTTCATTGCAGTTAACTGAGTCACATGGTCATTAAACAAATCCAGCTTCCCCCATTGACTTTGCTTGTCGGAAGCTGGCTGGGAAAGTCGCGAATGGTGTTCACATGACCCTGGGACACTGCGACCATTGTAAATACATGCCAAGCATTCAAATTTTGATCACATAGGGATGCTGTGATTGTCTTAAGTGTGAATACCAGTGGCAAGTCGCTATTTTCAGTGCCGTGGTAACTTCATACAATCACTACATAAGTCAAGGATTATGTGTATCTCCTAAATGTTGCAAGATTGCCAAAAAAACCAAAATGTGGTTGCAGTTTAGAAGATATAAATTGTTCAAGGGAGAAATAGTGAAACCGCAGTTTACACCATGCCTGCACTACCTTTCCACATTTCATAGCCGTGTGATTTCCCATAATGGGAATGGTCAAGTCCCTTAATTGCAGAGCACAATCAAGAGTATAGACTTTTTAAAATTAGTTGTAAAGCCAAGGGTTAAGTCTTAGAATACAAGATATTGAGAACAAATTAGAGCAAACATCTAGCCATTTCTTACTAGTGAGTTCTTTAGGTAAGGTCTCTGAATTTCCTTTTCCAAGGCTGTGTGCATGATGGGCTAACTATCCATTTCTTTGACGAGTTTGTAATGTCCTTTCCCATCTCCTGGTTGTTTGTCTCAATAAATACGCCTTTCCCTTTCTCAACCTCAGAGCAATTTCTTGTACCTTTTTTTCCCCTACAAAAATAGCAAGAAGAAGAAATAATAGCTTCCCTATTCACTTACTGTCGTTTCAATAGGTTTACTCAGAGAGGTAGAACTGAAAACTGCCATTCGGACTCTGTGTTGTATATTCATTGGTCTGTATGCCCATTATTGGCTGCTGCTTAATATCTCAGGATTCCAGTCTAGCTGGTCTGCACTCGGCTGTATGTTGATTACCCGTGCTCTCCTCGCCCATGCATACATCCATGTCAATATCTTCCAGGTAAGGCTATCATCCCTGTGTTGTATGAAGGAATCTATTAGCTTAGCATCTCTTGGCATAAGAATCCTGCATTGTAAAACTGCCCATGTTTTCCCTTTGAGTATATTCTGGTTGCCCAGATTTGCCCTATGTCTGGATGCTGCTTATAAATGAAGTATGCCTTGCTACAGTGCATGTAGCTATGTTTTGCCATTATCCCTCAATGCATCCCCAGGAGCCATAATTTATTTAAATTTTAAATATTACTACTACTTTGCTGATATTAATAGATATTTTTATTTTGGTGTAATTTTAGATATATTTAATATAAAAGAGTGCTTATATTTTAATATACGCTACATCCCGGATTTTAGATTTTATATGTCAGATGCTAGTGAGGTTATTTTACAAATGTATTTTAACTCTGTACTAAATTTTATTTGTCAATTATCAGTACTGGTCTTCGATCGCGCTAAATCGAATCGAACAATTGAGTGGGAAATTAAAGAGGTTGAGAAAGGGGACTTTAGAGATTCTGAAAAGATAATTGGAACAACTATTTTCAATGTTAATACTATTTTTAGCTATGTGAATGCGCTAAAGATTGCACTGGGGCGATGGTCTTGGGCATAGTCATGTAAAAATAAGGATGTTTCTAGCTGTAGGCTTCTTAGAAGTAACATAATATTGGGCAATCATTTCATAATTCATTCTGTAAGAGGTATTTTTTGATTAAAAAATACTGGGAAAACATGGAAGAGTTTCCGATTGTCCTACAGAAACGTAATGAGATATAGTCTTACATAAACCTGGCGGGATTTGCTTCCAAGTATTTGATTGTATTTTTTTTTTAATTAAATGCTGTATACTGAGTATTTCTCAGAAAGAGTCTAATTTGCATTTGGGGAACTTGGATCTTCAAATATTGCTGAATTCCCAGCGTCTGTCTCTACTGGGTGTGCTGGCTGAGATCAGTAACATGTAGAGGGCTATAGGTTTTCCATCTCTTGTTCATACTTCTTTGCTTTATATATGAGTTTTTCTCCAAATATTCCACAGAATGGAATCTATAACACTGCAAAAAAAAAATTGAACAAATCACTCAGATGAGCTGTGGTGGTGCAGTGGTTAGAATGCAGTATTGTATACTGTATTCAGTATTCTGACTGGCTCAAGGTTGATTCAGCCTTCCATCCTTCTGAGGTTGGCAAAATGAGGATCCAGATTGTTGGGGGCAATACGCTCACATTTGGAAACCACTCAGAGTGTGCTGTAAAGCTCTATGGCGTGGTCTATAAGTCTAAGTCAGGGGGTTGGACTAGATGATCTCCAAGGTCCCTTCCAACTTTATTATTATTATTATTATTATTATTATTATTATTATTATTATTATTATTATTATTATTATTATTATTATTATTAAGTTTTATTGCTATTTCACAGATAAAAAAATCCTTCTTGGCTGACAGCATCGCTATCCCAAGAGTTTTAGTTTCCTAATGTCCTAATAAATTAACATTTGTTGTTTATCTTATAGCATATTGGCCTACCCATGTTTTCACCTGATAAGAAGCCAAAACGAATCCACATGATGAGCTGTGGAGTTCTCAATTTGCCTCGAAATCCTCTGTTGGACTGGGTTTTTGGACACTCGATCATTAGTTGTCATGTGGAACATCATCTTTTCCCAGCTTTTTCTGATAACATGTGCCTGAAGGTGCGAGGTTGAATGACAGATGGAATGGGCATTTGGAAGGGTAGGGTGGGCAAAATAAATACCCGCTGAATGTTTACTTGTAAAGAGAAGGGTATGTATTTAAAAGGTGATGAGTTTCATGTAGGGCAAAATTCTATCCCTCAACAACAGGGGGGAAAAAAGTATGTTCTTGATCAGAAATTAGTTTTTATATAGTTCAGGCTTCTTTGAGATTGACAGGGGACACTGGGCCAAAACTATACATCCTATAGACCTGAAATCATATTTTCTAAAGAATAAGTTTCATTTCTGAATGATAAGAAATATGTTTTACATTGCACATTCTAATTCTTCCTTCCATGGATAATATACACAGATAATTTCATTTTGCTTTATAGTACTTGACATAACAAAATTGTTGGTTTCTCTTCAAGAATTCTTCAAGTTCTCTTAAGGGAGCTAAAATGGCAGGTATCTCAGAGGCTGCTAAAGCATTCTGTCTATACTGTTTAATTAATACTTATTTCAGTTGTATATATATTGGGAAGCACGCAATCTGGCAAGGAGGAGGTCTCAAATGCAGAGTTAGCCTGGAGTCACTACATAACCACAAAAAGCTACGATCAATTACCCTCCAAACACTTTTGAGCCTATTTCTTCCCAAGAGAAAGTTGCCAGGCTGGGGAGATTCCTATATTATAGGCAGAACATAATAAAGTGGTTAGTCTTGTTCGCACCTGACAAGATTTTTTGCCATTTTTAGTGATCAGCAGTGTTCTTTACATTTGGCTCTGGGCCTATCCTAATCAAAAATAAACATTAGTGACTTCCGGTTCCGGATTGCGGCATGTGCAGTCGTGTAGAGAGACTTCTCTCTTCGCCGGCTGCTTTCCCTCTGCCAGTAGACCCTTAATCGGGTCGAAAAGTCACCCTGGAGGGGCAACTACCGTTGAGATCCTCATCGACTGTGGAAGGGCGGCAGCTCCTTCTGCGGTCCGAGATTACTCCTTAGGGCCAACGGAGAAAAGATTGGCCAGTAAAATGGCCGATCACTTTGCTGCTGTAACCAGAAGTCAGAAGAACATCTAAGCGCAAAAAACCACCGTGGTTGATCCGGGTGAAACTTTTTTTTCTCCTCTCTTAGCCCTTTTCTCTTTTTTGTTTCCTGTAAAAAGCATTTTTGGAACTATTTCCCTGCTTTAAGACAGCGGCGTTTGTTAGTGTGGGAATAGAAGCTTTGAAATGGAATGAAAATTAATTTCAATTGACTATTTTTTATTTCTATTTACTTTGGGGTCTTGAAAAAAATTTTATTATTGAATTTTATTACTGGATTTAGTTTATATGTGAAGAATATTATTTTTTTTTCTGATTTTGTCAATGTCATTTTTGGTGTCTGGGAAGAGACTTTACAGTCTACTGAGGACACCTTGTGGAGAAATTTAAAATTGCAACTGTCTTTTTTCTCTGTCTGATGCTGAGATTGGCTTTGACCTTCAGATCATCATAAAAGGGAAAAGACAAAGAAATTTAACAGCTGTTAAATTTGTGGGGGTGGACACTGGCTAAATGTTATTAAATACAGCCTCCACTAAAAGATAACAGGACTGTTTCTAGTTACTATTGAAATGGAGAAACCCTATTTACAACTCAACTGTAAACTTATATTGGAAAAAATTTATGAAGCCACTGAGCAAGTATGTCTGCAAATAAAAGAGAGTACCACAGAAATAAAAAACAGAAACTCTATTTCGACTTTACAAACTGACCTTCAGATCTCATCTGACTATTCTACAAACCAAAAAATAACAGAAGAGGAATTAATCAACATTAAAGAAGATTCTATCTCATTCTATGTACAACCTACTGAGATTCCTGATGACCAAAAAATGACTGTAACTAAACCATCCACAACTTTAAAATTAACAGAAATGGGCATGCAAATACAACTGATTGAGGACTATGGCAATTTTGATAATCAACTACTAACCACAAAACTGGACATAATTGAGTGTCTTACTCAGCAGATTCAAATGTCGAGATTTCAATTTTTAAAACAACAAGGGATTATCTACAAAGGAGGCAGGTCTCTAAAACAGAGGAGGGGACGTTCTTCCTTGACTCAAATGATACCACAAGGAACAAAGAGAGACTTATTTGTTGGTGTAGAGGCTTTGTTATGGAAACCTGCTTGGCACAAAAAGAAAGCTAGAATAAGATTTAAGATTGTGACCTAAAACTGTACACAATTGATTTACAAGGTTTTTTAGACACGGATTGATTCAAGGTTTAAGATTGCTAAATAAGACATTAGAGATCCTGAATGAATAAGGATTAATTAAATATGTGAACTTAGTGAGAAGATGTTTTTCTTTTTTGTATTAATATGTTTGTTGAGGATATAACAATTATTTGGATCGGATTTAAATTTTACTGAGTGGGTTAAAAGAGTTTTACATAGATATTGATTGATTGATAGATTATAGATTTAAAATAGAGTAGAAATGTATTTTTTGGAGTAATATTCTTGTTTTTAGAAAGGATAGTTATTTTGTAATGGAAGGAGAATGAGAGGGATCTTTGATAAAAGAAGTAATGATATTAATAAATGAGTCACTGATTATGTTAAGGCAAAAGGGAAAGTAGAGACACCTGAAGTGTTAACAATATGTTTATCTAAACTAAATTGGAATATGGTAATTGTAAATAGTAAAGCTCAATACAGGATCTGGATTTATATAGATGAAATGTTATTGATGATTCTTTTGATTGATTGAACGTTACTGAAAAATACATTAATTTGAATATATTATATTATTTGAGGGAATAGAGAGGGAGTTTTTAATGATTTAATTTGAATTACATATGTATGATTTTACTTTTGGATAATTGATTACCCTGTTACCACCTTGTTTCTCAAGCACCTGGTTGTAAAAAGAAAAAAACAATAAAACTTGTTTTAAAAAAATAAATAAATAAACATTAGTATTTACTATAATACTAACCTTATCTTTCCTTTATATTTCAGATAAAACCTGTGGTTTCTCAGTATTTGAAAAAGAAGAAATTACAATACAATGAGGATTCTTACTGGTCACGCTTGAAGCTATTCCTGGACAAATATGAAGAACTGATGGTCCATGCACCTCCTATTTCTGAACTTGTGGGGATTCAGTAATGGTACTTTTATGGCTAGAGCTAGGGCCTTAAGACAGCATGGTTTCTTTTTCCAAGATCAATGCATTTAAAGTCTAAGTTAAGTTAGACCTTTTAAGTTTAAGTTTTAGGAAAATCAGTATATTATCAGCAAAAGGTATCTTTAGATACCGGATGCAACTGCCCAGTAATGGGTCATAGGCAGGGGTCGGCAACCTTACACTCAAAGAGCCATTTGGACCCGTTTCCCACAGAAAACACCAGGAGCCATAAAACCCTGCTGCTTCCCCCCCCAGCACTCCACTGCTCCACCGCTGCTGCTGCTTACCCCCTCCCCCCGTGCAGAGCGCCCTGCCCCTGCTGCTTTCTCCCCCTACCTCCCCCACCCTGCCGCCACTTTTCCTCCTACCTCCCCCACGTGGAGTGCCCTGCCACTGCTTTTTCCTACCTCCCCGTGCAGAGCACCCTGCCGCTGTTGCTTTCTAGCCTTACCTCCCCCTCACGGAGCGCCTTGCCACCGCTTTTCCCTCCTATCTCCCCCACACGGAGTGTCCTGCTGCCACTTTTTCCTTCTACCTCCCCTGCGCAGAGCACCCTGCCACTGCTGCTTTCTCGCCCTACCTCCTCCGTGCAGAGCGCCCTGCTGCCGCTTTTCCCTCCTACCTCCCCTGCGCCAAGCGCTCTGCCACCGCGGCTTTCCCTAGCAGCGAAGTTGGAGTTTGGGAGGCAGCGGCAGGGCGTAGCCCAGGCATGGCCCAGCAGCAAAGCTCGTCCTCCCCACTCAAGGCGCAGTAGCAGGATTGCTTTCAATAAGGCGGGCACACATGAGCGAGCAGCGCACCTAGCTCTTATTGTTTGAGAGCAATCCTGTTGCTGCACTTCCGCTTTCTTCAACCATGATTCCCCCCCTCCCCAGCCAGCCAGCTCTTCATGAATTTAACATGGGCATAAAAATGTTTTACCACCTTTATCAATATTACAAAGAAAAGTTTAAGAACTTTAATTGTGCTTGATCAGGTTCACTCATTTTCCTCCAGTTACTCTCTTTGCATCTCTTACCCACTTCATCACCCTCTGAAAGCCAAAGGACTCACAATGATCCACACTCATCGAGAGGATCCTGCAATCTAATCTGAGCTGTCATAACCTTTCATTCCAGCATGATTATAGCAGGTTATTCTCTATCCCTCTTTGTCTCCGTCTCTCTGTCTCTCTCTCTCTCTCATTACAATGTTCTCTGTTTTTCAAATATTTTTATTAAGGATTATAAATGAAAAGAGTAAAAGCCGGTGCAAACTATAAAACCTACAAATAGAAAAATAGAAAAGAAAAATTTGCGGGGGAAAAAAAAAGGACAGGAGAAAGAGGGGGAAAAAACTTTTCTCCTTCATCCCAACAGGTAAAAACAATTTTAGTAGCTTATCTACCATCTTTAAATACAGCATAATTATCCCCATACCTCATCTCTTAATTAAAAAAAAGATCAAAATATTTCATTAAACGTTCTTTACTAAAAGTCCAGTAAGGACAACCACATATATTCTCATTCTCTCTCTCTCTCTCTCTCTCTCTCTCTCTCTCTCTCTCTCTCTCTCTCCCCCTCCCTCCCTCTCCCTCTTTCTCTCTCTCCAATATATCATTTAGCTCTGATAAAATAAGCCACATTTATAAGTCTTCCCTGATTTTTTAAAGATAGTGATTAACTGCTTCAAAAAACAAACAAAAAACTAGCTTGCTGTTCAAGACAAAAATCTTTCAAAATTTAAAAGAAAATATTTTGTAAATCCAATACTTCATTTATCACTTCTCATGCAGTTTTTTTGCTCAATAAGGCGAGCAATCCCGCTGCTGCACCTCTACTTTCTTCAATCATGATTACCCTTGCCCAGCCAGCCAGCCACCATCGCCGATCTTCTCCTCGTGATCCCCCCCTCCCCAGCCAGCCAGCCACCATCGCTGACCTACTCCTCACCTGGCCAGCTGGCCTCACGCTCTCCTCCTCCTCCTCCTCCTCGTCCTCCGCACTCAATCGGTTGCTAGCGACTTGGGTGGCTCTGCTCCGTCCGAGTTGAAGAAAGCGGAGGCGTAACAGAAAACAGCTTTCCCAAAAAGAAAAGAAGTTTGTGGGCAGTCCCACAAACAAAAGAAGTGGGACTAAAAAAGTTCAATCAGTCAATTCCAACTTCACGAGATCTTTTTTTTCCCACAAGAAATTGGAATTGACTGATTGAACTTTTTTAATCCCACTTCTTTTTTTTTTTTTGTGGGACTGCAAATGGCGGAGGACTGGGAAACGCAATAGAGGGATGAAAGAGCCGCATGCGGCTCCAGAGCCGCGGGTTGCCGACCCCTGGTCATAGGGGAAAATCAATAGTTCCAATTAATTCAATTGTACTATCTTTGATTCTCTTCTCTGCTGTAATAATCTTTGCACACTGATACATTTAACAGATCATTTCAGATTCTGCTATTCTGCAACCTGAGGGAGGGGAATCTAAGGGCTATTTAATGTTCTTCCTCTTAAATTAAAATAACTTAAAAGTTAAAAGACATTTGTACAGTGCAAACTTTGACAAGTTCTATGCAGCAATTTCTTTTCCTCATCTTGGGTGTATGACAGCAAAGACATAGTCTGCTACTAACTGATCTGAAATCCACAGTGGAGAAAATATAAGCCACCTTTATAATATATATACATATATATATTTACCGCAGTCTTCCTCAACTGGTGCCTTCTAAATTTGCAGAGACTCCAATTAAAGAATGCCAGCTAGCATGGGAATTTAACATCTGGAAAGAACATTTGAAAAGAAACTTTAAATTAGAGAAGCTTTTCCTAGAGGTTAGAAGAAACATGAAAAAACTGCATTGACTGTTGGATTGATATTCATATACTGTAGCTCTAATTACATGATAATTTATATGGTAAAGAGATACTTCTTGCCAGATGCTTCACAGATTTTCATTTTTAGCACACCCTCATCAGGTAGCAATCCTCATCCTACTTTGACTGTTCTGAGAAGATAAGGTCAGGCCTAACCCGTGCTTAGCAGACCTCCACAGAATATCAGGTTTGAGGGCCAAACTGGGAAGTGAAAAACCACCCTAGAAGATGGCAGCAGCAAGCCACTTCTGTACTGATGCTAACTCCCCACTCCCCATACATGGAGCCATTATTGCAGTTGCCAAGACTTGAGCTTGACCTGAAGAAGACTTTATTAAAATTTCTCCTCCTGCAAGAAGCAAAAAAAAGTAAAAGAAAAGAAAAACCATTCAAAATATCATGCTGAACGGTGGAAGGAAATATAATTGTCATTACCAGTGGACCTTTTATCAACAAAAATGATGCAAAGAAAGACTGTATAAAAGTTCCTGCTGATGAATATGGTGATATGTATGCAAAGAGAGAATAAATTATTATCCGATCCACTTGTGCGGAGGGAGTGTGGTTTAATAAAAGGAACAATGTAAAAGCAAGCAGATTAGGCGGGCAATAGCAGCAAGTAGATATATTTGAAAAAATATTTTGAAATAAACTCTGACTGACTTGATGAGCTGGCATGGCCACCATGTTCTTTAGCTGGACAAAACCAGCTCTTATCTGTTCTCAAGGTAAAAATGTTTATGTCTACACATTTATGATACAACATATCCAAGCTATTTATTATTTACATGAAAATTAGCTAAACAATAATGTGCAATGGAAACTTCCATATTCTGCTCTTGTTTCTGTCTAAGGGCCCATTTTTCCCCTTCTGGAGAAGTGTCCACTGTTTATTATTTCTGGAATGAAGGTGCGTAGTATTGGCTTTCTCCAACTTGTTACGGTAGTAGTTTCACTTGAGATATATTCCTAACATTGCTGAAATATGTCTATCAGGAGAACATTCTTTTCAAATATGTGTTTCTATCCTTTACATAATTAATTTCTGAAAGCTTGTTTAGGAAAATCTGGAATATTACTAAGAATGGAAGGGTAATTGTGCATCAAGAAGAATAACTTAAAGGTGAGCTATGGGGAACAAAGAGATCACTTGACTATTCTGAAAACATGTATCTGTGAGTGGATACTTAGTGTGTGAATATACAGTATGTAACTGTACAAGAAAAATAAAAGTCTCCTTTAAGTTAAGTTTAAATTCCCAGGTGGCTTCATGCAGACATCTCTGTAGCTTTGTTGGCAACGATACGGAAGTGATTTTCCAGTACCTTTTTGCCAAATGCTCTTTCTGATTTTTCAGCTTAACCTACAGCCTGCCGTATGCAGGAAGAATCCTACCCTAATGTTAAAAGGGCCTTAACCTACTTGATTAACTAGGACAGTAGATGTGTTTACTTTTAACTCCCAGATGTCCCTCAGCCAGTTTGTTGGCTGGGGAATTCCTGAACTTGAATTCCATACGTCTTAACATTGCTGAAGTTGAGAAATGGTGACTTAGGGTGTTAGATGAATTTAGTCAGCGTGTCGGGTGAATCAGGCAAGTTTAGCATAGGTGTGTTTAGACAATTATGGTTTATTGAACAAATATGCTTAACAAATCTGGTTTAAGTGTGAACCCAGCTGAGTGGATAGAAAATGAACATGTCATAATTGATGTGTCTAGTTCACGACAAATGAAACAACAGGCATTAAAAGTCCTCAAAGAAGAATCTATCTCTAAACATTCAGATACATTTCTGGAAACCAGTCTGACCTGTAAAAGCACATACTTTTTTTTTTATTGAAACCTTTGATTTGATGGGCACAGAGTGAAACTAAAGCTTTACAATTTCAGACTGGAAGTGAACACCACATAGGGAATAATCCTCAGTTGGCAGAGTGAGGTTGGTTGGTTTAATTTCCTGTCTATCTACATTTACTAATTTCATTATCAACATGATTATCAACATGAATATTTTCTGTGATTTGCAAGGCTCTAGAGGCTTCCCAGTCTAGCATCACAAAGATTATAAAGGGGAATATTATTCAATCCAGCTTTACTCGAATTTTATTTGTGCGAAAAATAAATTCCACTGCCACATGCTGCTAACATAATTACAGTTCAGTTTG